TAGGGTTTAGGGTCAAGGGTTTAGGGTTTAGCTCCTGGGGTTTAGGGTTTGGGGTTTAGGGCTCCAAAAAGGCTGCAGGCTGAGGCAAGGATGCACATGCAGAATCCTAGACCCTCAGCTTAGGGCTTAGGGCTTGGGGTTTAGGATGCCCAATTGAGGCAGTTCTAGGTTGCAATGTGGTCTTTTTTGGTGGTGGGGGGGGGGGGGGGTTAGGGTTTAGGGTTTTAGGGTTTAGGGTTTAAGGTTTAGGGTTTGAGGGTTGAGGGTCGAGGGTTTAAGATCTCATAAAGCCCCGAACACGAAGCTCAGAAGAGACCAACTGACTACTACAGCGGTCGGAAGAAGTACGAATGGTGTTCCCTTATGGTCCCCATTTAGCCCTAAACCCTAAACCCTAAACCCTAAACCCTAAACCCTACACCCTAAACCCTAAACCCTGTTCAGTTATTAAGGCCCTTGTATTATTTCCGAGCCGGCCTGGCAGGCGCTGCACGGGCGCTCAGGGGGACACTGTGTCTGAGCCCAGACAGCCGCAAACCGTCTCATCTAGCAAGAAGAACGTGCATGCTCACATATGTGTATATGTAATTGTATATATACATATATATATATATACAAAATATGAATATAAATATAAATATAAATAAATAAACAAATAAACAAATAAACAAATAAATAAATAAATATATATATATATATATCGAGATGTATTTATGTATTTATGCATTTATTTATTTTTTCATTTACGTATCCGTTTATTTATAACCCTCAACAGGATGGACATGTCTTCTGTGTTCCTGATGTCGCAGGGCTTATATATAGGCAATACTCATACTCTAGGTATTTTTGGCTTCGGAAGGTTAGTGTTTTGTTGTAAGCGAGGGGGGATGGTTGTGAGTTGTGAGGCTAGGGCCCCTCTTGTTCGGAATGAGGTAGTAAAGGTCACCCCGGTCGGAGTCTACGCTTAACCCTACGCTTTGGAACCTAGACTCCTAAACCCTAAACCGAACCCTATAAACCCGAATAAACCCTAAACTAAACCCTAAACCTTAACCGGAAGAAATCAGAACTTGTGGACTTGGTGTTCTTGAGCTCTGCCAGCCCAAAACGAACTCAAGTTGCTCCAAACCTGGCTTAGGGTTTTCGAACATAGGAAGCCTGTTTTCTCTGGGTGAAGTGGGGGCTTCCTACAAAAAGTTGTGTCTTATATTTTGGTGTATCCAAAGGGCACGTGGGCCCCGAAATGTGCTGCGCTTACGTCTGCAGGACCCCTGTATTTTCAAGTTAAGCAAACAAGTGGGGGACAGATCGTGATGCCCCTAAAGCCGTCAACTCGTTTGAGGCACACAAATGGTGTGAGGCCGACCAGAATCATGCCCAAAACCAATCTTGAATTTTGGCAAAATTGACTCTACTTCTAAACCTACTCTATGAGAACCTAGCGCACTAGGGAGGGGGCTTGAACATCATTAGGAGGTGCGGGCGGTGTCGATTTACGGGCAGAGCTGGAGAGATAAAAACTGGGTTCTCAGTGCAGAACCTATGTTCATTGACACTAAGCTCTCGACCCTAAACTTATCAACCAAACCCTAAACCTGACCTAGTACCTGCTATTGCGGGGCCTCCATTTGGGTGCCTTGCTAGACCCAAGAGTAACCTAGTTGGCAACAAAAAGGGTGCCCGTTTCTTATCACGGAACCGAAGCCCCAGAACAAGGGCCTACTCTGTGTCCTAGCAGCCCAAATCCCTATAAACCCTAAACCCTAAACCCTAAGCCCTAAACCCTAAACCCTAAACCCTAAACCCTGTCGGAGTACCTAGGTTCGTTCAGGGCTTGGCAACAACACAGAAGACGCGGCCGCGCACGAAATCGGTCCTCGAGTTGTGGCTACGCCCATAGCTGGACCCAGCCGACCTCAAGCAACGGGAAATGTAGGGTTTAGGGTTTAGGGGTCGGAATAATTGCTTGTAGCATTGCCTTCTGGTCCCTTTGTAAGTATACTCGAATCACCCCCCCAAAAACCCTATTCTAGTTATCAAGGCCCCTATAGTAGCCTCAGACCCCCTTTTTGTGGATGGATCAGGGCTCAAGGTTTAGGTGAAAACCCTCAAACCCTAAAGCCCGAACCATAAACAATAAGCTGTTTTGGGATCACTACGACAAACCTTAGGCCCCTAAACCCCTTAGCCAGAAGCAGTTTTCGTTCGATCACTAGAGTTGTACACACTGAGCCCCTCAGCCATAGGCCAAGAACAAAATGATGGAAACTTTGCTCCTAAGGCTGTCGATGAAAGAGAAACCCTTAACCCTAAACCCTAAACCCGAACCCCCAAAACCCTAAAACCTAAACCCTCCCACTTAACCCCACGCAGCCTTCGGGTTAAGACAGGTGGCTTTAGGGGTGAGGGGTTTGGGGGCTTAGGGTATACGTGTGAAAAGGTTTAGGGTTTAGGGGTTTTAGGGCTTAATCCTGCCAGGAATAACGCTTCCAATCCTGCC